TATATATACACACATACATCCACATCAGTTCACAAATAAAAGTTCTATAGCACTATGCCCACAATTTCTGTATTTATACTCTTTTTTTTTTCAGTGTTGTGGAAGTATCTTTTAATAATCACAACCTGCAAAAAAAATTAACTCTTCCTTTTATATTAAAACTGAAAAGTAAGTATCCCTATGCTTCCAAGCATTACGATTTAATCCTAAGAAGAAAAACAAGTTCCTCCTCATTCCTGGCCCCTGCCTGTCACCTCTCCCTCCAGGCCATCAATTTTGGCAGTTAACATCTATGAACTTTGTTACTAGAAGAAAGTTTTCTATAGCCGACTTTTAAGTTAAATTGTTTAAAAATCTCTCCAGGTAAAATTTACTTAATTAGTGTTCTAAATGCTTATTCATGTAAAAGCTTTTTATGTTTTTAACATTAACTTAAATATGCATATTAGAAGCACTTGTGGATATGAAGACTCAAGGATTTGTCTGCTAGTTGTAGATTTAGGACTCTAAGACCTATAAACCTGAAAGACTGAAGCCATGCTCCTAGCCCAGGGCGGACACAGTGTTCCAAAACTCCAAACAAGGAAAGCCTCTTCTGTGGGGAGCTAGAGATTTTGAGATCACTACTGAATAAGGCTTGAAAAGGCTCATTTTTATACAAAAGACTACTACTCATTCATAAAGAAGAATAAACATGAGGCTTTTATAGGTAAATAGATGCAACTTGAGACTCACAAGTGAAATAAATCACTCATGTGTAGACAATGTATTGTCTTCCTTGTGTGAGAAATTAAAAGAGTAAAGAAGGTCTAAAATGTACAGTAGATACTGTGAAATGGGAAGAAATTGTTCAAAAAAAAAAACTAGGATGGGTAAAAGGGGAAAGGACAGTAAGGAAAAGGGAAAAAAATACAAGTTAGTTACACTGTTAGTGTCTCGTAGTTTGTTAAAAAGGTAGGTTTGTGCTGATATCAATTGCAGAAATTTTTATGCCCGTAACTAGTACCCTGAGCAACTATTTTAAAGATAACATGTAATATATTAACTATTGTTATTCTCCATTATTTTATTATGAAATTTTGCCTTATCTTTTTTCCATAAAATAAACTTGTAAAAAGGCTTATTTGTTGTAAAGTAATGGTTTCTCCACTCCCCTAGCTGAATAAACCTCATAAATGCAAGGGAGAGAATCTGTAACTATGCAATGAGACATAGCCCAAGGAAAATATCCTAAATAATTTGAGACATTATTTACTTATATATAAAAGTTGTATTTTGGACCAACAACTGTTGTTCAGAACCAATGCATATGAATACTTACGCTTTTGCTAGCTCCATTGATATTTGTTCCAAAGAGCATCCCTTTGTCTCAGGTATAAACATACTAACAAAACCCAGAGATGCTAGACTCATGAATGAATATATAAAACATACCCATGGCAGGCCAATAAGATCTATAAGGAACAAAAGAAAATGATTAGAAATATATTATGTGGTATCTTAATCTCATTAGTAAAGGATGACTCTTAGAGCACATATAAAGCCATACCTACATGCCAGTAGTTCTAGGAAAAGAGGATTCACACATTAACAGTATAGTCAGCCCTGGAAGTTTTTGTTTTTTACTCCAACTTTTCCAGATAAAATAAATAGTGATCTTGTAACTATCACAATTTAAGTCCAATGCAATCCTCTTGATGGGACTATCTTTCTAGAAATGGTAGTGTAATCTTATTAATAGTAAAAAAACACACACACACATAATTGTTGCAAAAACAGAACTTCAGATAACACAGAAATATATATAACACTCCTGGAGGTAATAAATAGTTCACACTCTCCATAGTTTCCATTTTGGAAACCATCACTATAGCAATTTGGTTTCTATTTGGTGGGCATTTTTAATTGACATATTTTGTACAGATGGATTTCTCTTAGATATAACTCACCCTTCTTTGTTCTGATTTGAATGAATTAATTCATGGTGGCATTATTTCATCAGCTTTAATAGCCAACAGTGCATTTGAATACTTCTTTCTCGATCCAGAGAAAAAAGTGATAAGATAAGGGGTCTAATAAAAGACATCAACTTGCCAAGGTGCATTAGCAAGCAGCAAGAGTGTCAAGATTGTGACAGATTTCACTCGCCAGCCTAGTTTTTCACCTTCCCACACCTAGGCAAAGATACAATCCCTTTATAGGTATTGAATAAAATCAAGTTACATTAGCCAAGGAGGTCTGCATTGTTCTGGCAGCAGAAAGTCTAGTGTGACATGGAAAGGGAAGAAAGTAGCTGGCTGTTTTTGCACACAGGCTCAGAACAACTGGACAAAAGATTTGCAAATAACCTGTTATAGTTGCAACAACAAATCACAGTTGGTCAGGCGAGAACACTGCCCCAGCAGTATAACCAGTGTACACGGATCTAAGCAAGGAGACCACTTGTCAGGGGGCTGTGCTCAGATGGAAAGATGGAAGAGCACTGCTGTTCTTTCAGAAGTTTTAATTAAACTCCTCTCTGTGTGCTTGTCTCATGCTGGTACAAGGTTTTATCTGGGTGACTGCTTAATTAAGTGCTTGTACAACTTGACTGTAAGCATTGACTAAACCCAAAAAGCTTCTCATCAGACCTGTCCCCAGTTTTGTCTGAGCATGTAACTCGTAACTTCACAAAGCTCTTCACTGCCCAGTGAGACAGTTAAAAGCTCACTCCTTACCATAACCCCAAATCAACCTTTCAGACATTCTGTTCTGTCCTCTGCATGACCCGCGTTGAGACATCTCTCCCCACCCCTTCTTCATGACAGCCACTCTAGCACTTGAATGCACCTCATTCCTTTATGTGACAATCCGCTGGGCCAAATCAAACACCCTGAACTCCCTCAACCACTCTTTACACAGGAGAGGTGACATGCCCTCCTCATCCAGGTCGCCTTCTCTTGGTGGATATGATGCAAGTTGGGGTTTTTTTGTTGTTATTGTATGCTTGTTTGTTTTGGTATCTGGAGTTGAACTCATGACCGTGGGCTTCCCAGGCAGGCACTTACACCACTGAGCTGCATCCCTGGCCCCACAATGCAAGTTTTAGACAAACTTCTGAAAATATTTTACCAGAGCTGAGTGCGGTACTGCAGCTGTGCCATGCCCACCCACTGCAGCAGATGTTTGTCTATCTGGAACCGTCTGCTTTATTGTTTCAGATGAAATTTCGTTGAAATGCTGATATGTAAGGGCTTGTGGCCAAGTAGAACCTCACATCTTTTAGGTCTCTCTCATCCTCATATGGAAAATTGGGTTTTGAAAATAACTAGAGATAGCTAAACATCCTAATTAAATGTCACCTAAAGGTTTTAGATCATTCCAGGTTGACTTCAAAATTGGATCTGTTTTCCTAGTATTTTTTCCAAAAGCCTATGCAGAACTTCTGAATCTTCATTAGTTTATCCAATTTATTAGTGAGGCTTCTCAAATATTTGCTTCATACTTTTTCATTCCTCATTTCATTCTTTTATATTTTGCTTTCGCCACACCAAACAGCACATGAAGAATGTGTTGTGTGTGTGCATAGAGGTAAAAGGCACATGTTTATGTATGTGATCTAGGTAGGAGAGATATAGTCAATGATAATAACCAGTTCGGTTGTTTCCTCTAGTCTTGTTCTCTGTCTAAAACTGTAGCATTTGAAAATTTTATATAAAAATCCAAACAATATTTACTTAGGTACTCCAAATATAAATATGTATACACATACTTATGTATATATGTATACACTGAATAGCCATCCGCTTTTGAAAATCATACATACATATATGTGTAAATGAAGGCGTGTTTAAAATGGAACTGGACTATTTTTTTATAAAACTTTCCAGTTTGGATTTTTTTTATGATAGTCATGTTTTAAGACATTTAAGTAATCACACTCTATATGAAGTTAAAAAAAAAAAAAAAAAAAACCTCAACCCATTGGTCAGTTCTGGAGGATGCTAGGAAACTACTTCATTACTTTGAGAACTAAAAAAAAAAAAACTTCCAAGCATTTATCTTGCCCTTTTATATGACCCACACTTCAGAGTAGTTGCCACACCCAGAGATGTACTGTGGATACACTTGGAAGGGATGACGGAATGAACACAGTGGGTCTGCATCCTGATCATCAAAGGAGCCCCACAGGAGACAGCCAGACCTGATGCCCCTCTTAATCGCAGAACACATCACTGTCACCCACAAGGCATTGGCAAAGAGCTCTGAAAACTCTGAACTTCCTCAAACCTCTGTCTAGATCTGAACAGGAACTTTCAGGGAAAACTAAGGACAGACATGTGACTTGAGTACAATCAAAATCCAGACTGTAGGAAATTCTATGAAACAAGTGACCCAGGTTTTACTTTTTAATCAAAAGTGAAGGCAGAATAAAGGATCAGGAAAATGCAGGTGAAATATGCAGATAAGGCCTATCAATTAATCCTAAGTTATATTCAACTAAAGTTTTAAAAAAGTAGTTATGAGACGATTGGTAAAACGTGAATATAGACATTTTGTATACTAAGGGATGACTAATATTCTTAGGTATGATAATTACATAGTGATTTTATTGCTTAAAATGTTTTGTCTTGTAAAAGGCTCGTGCTGAAATTTTAGACATGTATGACAAGGTGTAGGACATAACTCAGAATGGTTGATGGGGACAGAGCAGTGGGGTTTTAAGATGGAGAATCACTTATATTGGGTGATGAATACAGCAAGATCATTGCCATTCTCTGTACAAAATGTACTTGAAATTTTTCACAATAAAATGTACCATACAAGAATATAGTTCCGTGATATTTGTCCTAAAAGGAGAAAAGGTACGAGAAGAAACTGAAGACTCTTACCTGTTACTGTCAAAAATGTGAGAGAGATGAGGAGATTGATGCCCCAGTTCATGCTAGAGGTTAGAGCCATGGCTCGTCCTCTAATCCCACCTGGAAAGATTTCGCTGAGCACCAGCCATGGCACTAGAATGAAGAGAAATGGCAGACAGCGTAATGAGCAAAAACCCACTGAAAAGGAAGCCAGCTCGCTGAGTTCCCTTTGCCTTGGTCCTGCCTGCATTTGTGTTGGCCATAGGGCCACTTCCTGCCTTAATGGATAGGCTGGAAAGGGGCTAGCCTTCTGCTTACTCCCAAACGAGGGAGAAAGACTCCAGAAGAAGCACTGGGAGAGCTGAGTGATGGCTTTCATGAGTGGGGTGCAGCATGAAGTGCCAGCATCTGACACAGGCCACCAAACCTCAAAAGAAGGGCAGCGCCTAAGGCAGCTGAGTGCTAGCTCTGAACATCTGCCTCACGTGGGAGCTTTAGGTCAGATCCTGATTATTCCTGCTGTATGACAGTGCCCTTTCCTGTACTCTCCTTTCCGCTTCACCTTCGAGAAGTCTGTAGTCTGAGCTAATGAATAAGTAGGAAACAGCTTGAAGGGCGAGAGGACACCTGCTATTTCTTTTCTCTCCCATGTGGGCCTCCTGGCCAGGGGCAAGCTGGTAGAGAGAAGCTTAAATTAAATAGAGCTCCCAGATTTAATTATTATACCAGAGTAGACATTTGGATCGCTGGAAAGAGACTCTTCTTGGCACCAAAATTGATCAGAGGACTTTTTATTATCTGAGAGTGACAGGGAACACTATGGGGGCTGCTTGATGGGATGAGCAAGGGCAGAAGAAGGCACATTAACTTGTCTTCTGATCACAGCCCAGTAAACCCAGTTTGCCTAATAAAAGAGTGGCAAGTTCTTACTGCAGGCAAACTTTATATACAAGTCTATAATGTTATATTGTTTGACCCTCATGAACTTCTACAAAGTAATTACTATCACTTTTTCTCTTTTACAGAAACTAAGGCATGAAGGAGTTAAAAACTTGCCAAGAGAACTCCTCTTAAATGACAGAAGTAGCATTAGAACCCTGGCAGCTAGACTATGGGATTTGTTGCATCTTAATTATTGTGGCCTTTTAGTAGTGGCTCAATGAATATTGGTTATATGGTAAATGAATGTAACTGTAAACACATTTGATCTTGTGGAAAGGATTTAGGAGTTGCCCTAACCCTAGGTCCCTGCATCAGAGTCTATGTGGTGACCAACCACAGAGTTCCAGCTTAGAAGAAGCAGCTTGGAGATAGGATGGGTTCACTCTGACCAGCAGCCTCTTGGTCTGCTTGTGGCCGAATGGAATAGTCAGCTGAGCCTGTAACAGAACAACTGATCTCTTGCATTAAGATCACGCTCTGTAGAGAAAACATCTGTGCAGTAAATGTACTATTTTAAAGTAAGAAAAACAAATCACATCACAGGAGAGGACTCAAAAAACTTTTTCTTGATTATTGTTTCCAAATGAATTTATAAAAGAGTTAACTTGAAGACATGGTAGATCATTGTAGCCAAAGGAGCATAATTACTATTGTTTTAACTAACAGGAAATTTTAAAAAATTCTTCCCTAACCTCTCTTCCTCCTGCTCCCCATCCCCAAAGATTCACTGGATTCTTGCAGAATATATCCTTGGTAGAAGCTCTTTTCTTTGAATGAAACCAGTTATCCTATCTTTAATATTGCAAGATTGAGGCTCCAACTTTTACTAATGATAACTACATGATTCAAAGGAAGACTCTGAAATGAAGATCTGTCCTTGGATCAACATGAAACTCTATCAGTGCGATTTTTAAGCTGAATATCTATTGCCACAAACGTATCCCTCATGTGTTCTTTTCTCCATTTTATTTGACACAAGTGGAACTCTGGGTTTTCTGAAGGTCTTGTACTTTAGCAGCCATGAGGAAGAGGAGGAGGAGGAACAACCTTTTTTCCTAATAGAGGAGGTGGCTCAGATTTTTCCCAGCCCTAATTTAATACTTCTCCAGTTCCCTTCCTCCACACTCTACCTTTCATCATGATGGCTCTTGCATTTGTTGGTGGCATTTGCTGGGTTTATCAGAACCACACTGGGCTCAGATCAGAATAAGGTGATACTGCTGTTATAGCAGGTGATGCATCTCAGCAGTGAGAAGGCAGGAAAGATGTACAAAAGCAATGATTATATGTGCTCAGTCTGAACCGAGGATCTTGCCTAGAAAAACTCAAGATCACACTGAAAGCCTGTGCTAAGCATACATTCAATGCAGCAGTTAAGCCAAGTTCTTGGGCAATTATTCCAGTCTGAGTTAATGAACTGAAGAATGAAAAATAGACTTTCCCTGTTTTCAGGCAAGCCTGCACTTGGCAGTTCCAAAAATAAATGTATAATTGCTGAGAGCTTCTACTTCTTTTTTGGAAGAATTCAAGAACTAAAATCTTGGTTGCTATAATATCAACAAGCTGGATGTTGCAGCATTTGGCTAATGGATGCTTAAACTGTAAAAAATATGAAGACTGTCAAATTTAAAATAAGGAGAATTATCCTGATAATTATTTCAGAAACTAAAATTGCAAGTTTTCAGATCCAGGAAGAGAGAAATAAAAATGTTTAAGTGGAATTGGCAGCCAGAAAATCCTGCTGTGGCAGATCTTGGTGCGAAAATCTTACAGGCCTCCCTGTTCTCCAGAATGATGGAGTGAATGACCAAAGCAGAAAGAATGAAGGAGCTGTGTGTGTATTAGTCAGCCTTCTGTTGGTAGGAAAAGATATCTGACATGCACAATTTGAAAGAGAAAAGATTTGTTTTGGCTCATGATTTTAGAGGTTTCAGTCCATGGTTGATTGAGGCCAAGGTAGGGCATCATGGCAGGAGGGCACAGCAGAGCAGCCAGGAGGGAGAGAAACAGAGATTGCTTCAGAGGAAGGCACCGGGGATCAGCTCAAGGCCCCTTGATACACTATCTTAGCTCCCTTCCATTACATCCCAATGGTGCCACCACATTATGACCTCATCAATGCATTGATCCACTGATTAAGCTAGAGTCCTCATGATCCAATTGTCTCTGGAAAGATCCACAGGCACCCCAGATATGTGCCTTACCATTCTCTAGACATTTCTGAATTCAATAAACTTGACAGTCAAGATGAATATCACCCTCAATTTCCATTCACAAGTAAAGAGAACAGAGGCATACGCTATACCTGGGAATTTAATGTAATGATATTTATAATAACAAGTGGAAGTCTTCGTAAAATCACTGATACTTTTCCCCAATGATTTGGCCCACTTTCTCTCCAGGTTATGGCTACATGGAGGGACTGGAGGGCTCTGGAGTACTCATGACAGAGATATGATGTGTGCTCTGTTGGCCTAGCATCACAGTAAAGAATAAATGCTACAATAATTTGAACTTGTGGGAGGTAAGGGAGTAGTAATGGCTCCTAGAATCTGATTCTTGTTCACACATATTTCACATGGTATTCAATCTTAGGGCTTCCTATCAGAATTTGTGTGACCCAGATGAAATGTACAGAGTGTTTATGGCTACATGGTGTACCCTAAGAAGACCATGGATGACAAATACATCAAAGGTTTTTTGTGTTTAGTTGAGCACATGGACTCGGGTTAATACAGATATTCAATAAAAATAATAATCCTACTACATGAGTATTTCTTCCCTCCTATTTATTTCTGGCCTTTGCTCCAGTTTTAGCTATAGAAAACTGTCATTTTACCCCCTACGCTTTCAGATTTAAATCCTGCAGCTCTCCAGGCACATTTTCCACTTGGCTTGAATTCTTCCTGAACCACCTGGCATGCTAGACCAGCGTTTGAAAGACTCATCGAGGTCTTAAAACTCTTGCCAGAGAACTCCTAGCAACTTTGGAGGAAGTTCTACAGTTAGGCTGCACAGTTTTCAACAATCTGATTTGCAAAGGAAGCCCTGCCCTATATGCTGTAGGAATGAAGCCAAATCCTACGGCTTTTATTGCCTTTACAAAGAGCACGCAGCACACCTTATTCTCCTCCTGCAAAGAGGCTATCAAAACATGAATTGGAATAGGATCATGCCCGTCTTGCCCAAGCAGATGTTTAAATTCTGGCTTCATAAATTCCCTACATGGAAAAATTATGCTTTTTAAAAACCACACTCCACTGTAAGCCACCAACTCCAACACTAGCAATGATTTGGCAGATTTTATTTTTTGTTGCTGGTATTATCATTTCCGTCTCTCACTCTCCTTGAGTTGTGCCCCCCCCCCCCCCCGCCATAAGCCTTTTGTAAAAGAGACATTTTATTCAAGAACACAGTCTTGGGTTACTTGAATTACAAACTAAGAAAGGCAAGGAATTAAAGTGTCGTCAACATATCCCAGATTTTCAGCCCAATGATTTCTAATTAGGAGTGACTTGTGTAAAGGTATTTTAGGGGAAATTGGATGCAGTGGAATGACCCTTATAAATAATCAGAATCATACCAATTATGATAATGTGCCAAAGTTAAAAAATGGAATGCTGTTTGTGAACCAGGCGATGAAGAGGAAGAAACTATGTGAGTGGGCTTCGAGTTTTCTTGTTTGTGTAGCCTTCAAAGTAATTTGAAAAGTAAAGTAAATTTCTCACTTATAAGCCGACATTCAACATTTTTTCACCCTAAACATGAATAATAACAAAATATGCAATTTCTACTGCTGTCAACTTTAAAATTTGAAGCAAAATAGTTGTATGACTCTTAAATGTTTCCAGCAGAATTTAAATACCATGCCTTTTTGATTCCCAGCATCATCCGTCATTCAAGGGAAAAAAAAATAGCAGCAAAGTATTCAATGTAAATTTTCTGTTGTTTTTTTTTCTCTTGACTTTAAAATTTCATCCTATTGTAATGCATTGCTTAACAGCCTGAAAGTCTTTCAGATAAACGTATCATATGTCTTAAGACAACCTTAAATGGAAATTTATTTTAGTTATACATAATTTAATAGCTTCGTGTGTATTTCCTGGTTTAATTATTAACTAATTAATGCAAAATAAATAAAAGTTACAGAAATATCTAAAATATGTTCAACATAAATATCAAATATAAAAATCAAAATTCATTATTTAGCAGAGAATGAGAAGCTTCTTTATCATGTGTCTGTGAATGTCACTTATTTCTAGAGTAACTTCGTGCATTTCTGCTTTTTAAATTTATTGTTCTCAAGACTAAAATAGTCAAAATAGATGGAGAGCTAATGGAACTTTATAATAACAGTGTTATTCAGTTCTTGAGACTGACAACCAAAGTTGTTTATAATAATGTATCAGTTGATAACTGGATTAGGTCATTATTTTTTGTTTGAAAGGAAATCATTTGAAATACCTTGCTTATGAAAGGACTATTATATTATCATTTGAGTCATTTCTTAACACCTACACCAATATTTCCAAGTGTCACTGTTTTTAGTGTTCTTGAGTTCTTGTAACTTGGGATGTTTATCATGGCAAGACTGATGATGAGTAACATGTGAGCTTTCTTTGAAGTGGGAGAGTGGTTCTAACTGTTAAGCTGAGGAAGGAGAACTTTTAAGAAATTTTTTTGCACTTGCAGCCCTGGAAATTGACTTTCTTCATAAATCATCAAAGGAATATTTTTTGGGAAGTGAACTTCCTAAAGTATGCATACCCCAATTTGCAGAATACTGAGCTAAAGTTTAAAATGAGAAACAAATAAGCAAAAAAAAGGAGGAATGAGAAATTCATGTTTTCTATTTTGAACTACATCTTGAATAAGATGGCTCTAGTCATAACAGTTTATATTGTATTTTTTTCATTAGTGACGCTTCAGTTGGGAAAGTATTATAGTTTTATTTATTTATTTATTTGGAGACAGGGTCTCACTATGCACTTCAGGCTGGCTTTGGGCTCACTTTATAGCCCAGGCTGATCTCGAATTTGCAATAATCCTCCTGCTCAGCCTCCCAAATGCTGAGATTACAGGTGTGTGCTGTCCTGCCCAGCTTAATATTATAGTTTTAATTTTGCAAATTTTTTGGAATAATTCTTAATATGTTTTGAGAAACAATTAACAAATAACTCCTTGTGTTTATTAATATAGTATTAAAACTTTACTTTGCTTCTTTCATGTCTGTATCACCCAGTATTTATAATTTGTATGTCTTAATACATAATAGTTACATTCATTTTGGTGACTTGGTACATATATATGACTTTTAATCATTTCCAGTCCCTTTGATTTATCCCTTTGTCATCCTTCCTCCCTGCTTTCCCCATTCCTTTTCCATCTCCAAAAGCCTGCCTCTCTGTTTCCTGCTATCTTTCCTTTATTTTATTTTTTAATTAAATTATATTCTGAGTTTCTCATATAAGAGAAACAACATGATATTTAACTTTCACAACACTTATAATTTTCAAGGTCAGAGGACATGATGGCGTACTAGGTGGAGAGGAAAGCTGAACACCGATGTCTTACGTGAGCAGTTGCCGATGGTGACAAAGTTGATAGAGCCATTGCTTTACGTGCTCTACTCATGCTGCAAAGATGCAAGGTTAAAATCTTTGGTTCTGTTGGATACTGTTTCTGCATCCTCTAACTTCAAAGAGGAAAGAAAGATCCCATTAGTCATGCACATATTTCTTTAGGCATTTCCTGTTGTTCAGAGGCAAAGTTAGTGCAGAACTATTCAGATACAATGTTTTTTACTTCACATTATTGTAATGACTCACATTGTAAGGATCAAATGATTGCTTCAGTCAAGCATAATGACATTTAACCTAGTTCACCAGGGGGAAAATGCAGGGATTACATGAACACTAGTGATAAAGGAAATTTGAAGATTTCAAAGCAAAGTATGTGCTTTTGAAAATTGTAAAGGTATGAACACTTAAGTACAAACCCACTATGTGAATATTATCATAAAATGTTTACATTTGATATTCTTCTGTTTAAAAATTTATGCAGTATTTCTTCTCTCTAAAGCCATATAATTAACCCATAAGAATAGTGGTAAATGAAAATGAGCACTTAAAAAGCCTTTGACTGTGATGATTCTGATTGCTAGAGGCCTAGAATCCAGGGTAAAATGTAAGGACATAAAATCCTTGCAAACACTTAATGTGCTTCTGGAATACAAGCCTCTTTGTCTTAAACCCAGCATGTTTTGGAGTGAAACAGCTAACTCAACTTCCAAATTAGAACCTTCTGTTCTACCTCACTGGAACTGCCATATTCTTTAGCTGTATAATCATCACATGAGCAATTTTTTTTTTTTGAAGACCCAGAGCTATTTGGATATAAAATCTGAATTTAAGGGTTTGGCAGATGACTCGTATGCTTCCTACTGATGCACATCCTCCAAAACTCTATAAAATGAAACAAAACTAAAAAATAGGTTTCATAATTGTTGAACTTGCAAAAATTCTAATCTCAATGAAGACTGAAAAGAGGATAACTGAGTATTAAGATATTTGTGTTGGGAAACAATTCTCTATTAGTCTTTGCCAATTATTTCTATTTTCATTCATTCATTCATTCATTCATTCATTCATTTGTGGACAGGTACTGGGAATTGAAGCCAGGGTTCACAATAAACTACTTCCCCTTCACCTTTTTATCTTCAGATAGTCTCTGGATTATTCACATCTGGCTCAAACTTGCAAACCTTCTGCCTCATCCTCCCAGAGTGCTATAATTACAGGCTTGCATCCCCATCCCCAGCAGTCTCTGGCATTTCTGCAAGTGTTGTAAGCAACAGCTCTGATCATTTTTGCTCTTGACTATCTTAAGAGGCTCTTACACAGGACAATGACTGTGCTCTCCTCTAGAGAAAAGGACCACTTTGTAAACTGACAAAGAATCAGGCTGGTTAGTGTCTATTCTAAAATGTGGCTTCTCTATGCTTGGGATTACTCTCATATATAAAACCCAGGCACAGGGATTATCTAATGTCTCCCGGCTGACCTGTGGGCATTGAAGCTTGGGGATCTAGCACAAATCTGGTCTTCTGGCTCTTGCTAATTGTGAATCATAAACTTCATTTCTGATGATGAATTCTTCTGTCTTTTATCAACATCTATGAAACTGCAATAGGCTAACCTGTTAACCTGAAAATGGGGTAAAATCTTAGCCCCTTTACACTTATTGACAGTTTTATTATCTGTAACTATGGCATTATTTTTCTACAAAGATCTTTTGTTACTATTATTAACTTTGGATTTTCCATTCACATCTGAGGAATTTTACTATGGTTTTTAAGCCTGTTAATCCATTGAAATATTTCTATAAGCTCAAATAATACTGATTAGGTAGAAAACCATGTCCCTTCCAAACTCTAGGTTTAGATTTTCATATATTTCTCCTAGGACAACCATGAAGGAATTGCAAAAAGATCTTTTTGTAAAAAGTGAAGTTTAAATTTATTCAGTGACTGAGTTAAGATTGAAATAGTCATGCTATGGAAACTGAAGGTCTCAGTCTTTTTTTTTTTTTTTTTTTCCAAAGAGAACCTGGAGAACAAAATAGAAAAACTTGGAAAAAACTTGGAACACTTGCTCTAACAACATGTATTTTTAAAAGGCCTTAATTTTAGTAAATTTAAAACATAAGCCTTCTTTAGTTATGTATCTTCAACTAAGTAGCTTTATTCAGACACAGTTTTTAGCTAAATATGTAAAGGGCTCCACACAAACCACATTTGCCTTTTGTTCCCTAGTTACTGGGTTTGCTTTATTCCAGAAGAGATATGAATGTATTAACTCCAGACTAAAAAGCTCCCCATTAATCATGAAAACTAAAAGAGTTTTATATTTTTTAAAAGAAAATTCATCCAACTTATCATAGACTAGACTCTATTTTAGTCTCAGGGAAGTTACAGTAAACAGGGCAAGATTTATTTGAGCTCAGAACACGCAGTTTAAAGTATAGCAACACCTCAGAAGAGTAAACATTTGGGCATCTCTCAGTTGAAATCACACTTTTTACCTTTCATCAAGGCTTCAGGATTTTCTTTTCCTAAGAAATCCTCTTGATTATATGTGATTCAAGATTGAACCACACACTACTGAAAGACACAAATCAATTTCCACAGCCTTAAATACTAGAATAGTATATAAAGGGAGGTGAGGATGATCATCACACCATAAATCAGTATAAGGCCATGGAGTACATCCTTTGTGTCCCTGAGCTGCCTAAGTGAGACGCCTACTTAGTCAGAACCATCTCATGTCTAGATGAGAGCCAGATGTTTAATAAATAAATACTTATTTATCACTAAGTATACTGAGCCAGTGCTGTACACCAGGCTCTAAACTAAGGAGATACTATACAGCCTGCTTCCTTGAACTCTATAATTACAAGGTAAGTTGACACTATGGCTCCCGTTTTCTCAGTAAGGAAACTGAAGTTTTGAGATATTAAATGACTTCCCCGAAGTCTTCTATTATGGAGCTGGCAGGCCAGGCCGTTAGCACTCGAAGCCCTGTCGGCATCTAGTCCTACGGTGTGTAGGCTCCTGGCCTCCGCCGGGCCGTTTGACTACTATCATCCCTACTAAACTCTTGTCCCAGATCTTCAGTGTTTTCTTCAAATAAGCCTTGATACAAATGTCACCAGCTTGGAAACTCCTCCTGTCTCCCTCATATCTGAAAGGAACCCTCTTCCGAACATGCTTTTTTGCTTACCCTTATTTTAATTTGTCTCTCTTGTCTTTATCCTAATTTTAACACTTCCCTTTCCTGACATTGTATTATATATGTATTCAGATTCTCACTTCTTACTTACTCCCATCACCAGCTCCATGAGAACAAAGTGCGGATCTCTCCCATTCCCCCCAAAATCTCCAGCACCTGTGCCAGGCCCTGTATGCACACCTGCTGGGTCAGTGAGTGAAGAGATGACTCCCCACTTTCTCCCTCCATCTCCTCTTCTTGGTCACTCCATGGTGCTCACTCTTGCCTTTGTGTGTGTGTGTGTGTGTGTGTGTGTGTGTGTGTGTGTGTGTGTGTGTGCTGGGGATTGAACTCACAATCTTATGATTGCCAGGCAGGCACTTATGCCACGGAGGGAAACCCCAGCTCTCCTGCTTATTTTGGTCCTCAGATTTGGTGAAAGAAACAGTGGAAGATCATGTGTTGTCATTTGCCATTCAGTCTTCAGTGTTAGTTTCCCTCAATGTGTCATTGTAGCTAAAGGATGACAGTCATAATCTCATCACCTAACTTAGACGGTGACACTGAGAACAATTTCCTCCATCTATTCATCATAAAAAAAATGCCAATCATGGAATGAAAGATGAAGTTAATGAACTAATTTATGGACACATGAATTTTGGGGCCTAAAAAGTTCAATAATTATTGTGGAAAGAACAACCCCAAACATTTTTCTGAGGTATGGTATCTATTTTAAGGAGAGCTGCGTTTCTACACGTGCATCACCTCAAAGGAACTCATAATAACGTTAAACCTTGGGCTTCGGCTCATCTTTACTTCATGTGTGAGGTATGAGTAGAAGAGAAATTTTCATGTGTTCTGCGTCTTCAAAATAATAAGAATCTGTGATTTCATGCTGAAAACATCTTAGCTATTGAAGGGAGCCCAGAAATACAGTGGAGAGTCGGGCCAAAATTTTGAACCTCTGTTGAAGTGAAAGATGACATATGTAGAACAGAATATTTAGTAAGAGTTTCTAATAATGGCAGTGGAATGCTGTCCTGATTTTATTTGACAGAAGAGTTTTAGTTTTAGTTACGGAGAAATGGAGGACAGGGGCTCTTACCCACTTCTGAACCATAAATGCCTTCAGCAGGCTATCAGATCGAAAGAGCTCTCTTAGAACCATATTTTAAATGCATAAAATGTAGGTTTCCATATTTATATCTCCTCCTAAATTCTGCGATCTAGAGCAACTCTGTTATTTTTAAAGTTAGAGAAACACAAGACCAGAAAGTGAAATGATGTAGGCATATACTTTAACCTAAGAATAGAAACACGTTCCTGGCAGAAGAAAACCACACCGTGATCTAATGCAATTAAAGAATGTTGTTTTAAGCCAACCCATATTTAAGAAGATTTAATAAGGATGGTTTAATTTTTCTTTCCATGTTACTTTAGAGCAGCAAGTACTTTTCCTTTTATACCTGTTTGCACAAAGGATTTGTTTGTATTACGGGCAATAGTTTCTCTAAATGAAATACCTAAGGAATAATCACAGCAGGTTAATAAGTTTTATAATGCGTTAAAAAACCTGGTATGAAAAGCTTGCTCCTAAAAACAATCTTGTTTAAACTCCAACAGTTCCTACAGTTTATGCCAATGCCCTAAAACATAATTTTGAGGATTGAAATGGAATTCCTATGGTATGTTTTCTTTAGGGTAGAAAAATAACTACAACATGAATATAGACATAAATGACTGACTTTTGCCAAGGAGGCAGAAAAGCACAATTCTTTAGATCCTCCTTAAAAGACTAGGAGAATTCATAGTCCCACACCACAGTGAGAAACAACTTTTCTTTGGAGAGGGCAATTCAGACATTTGCCTTCAATGGGCTGACCTAGCTCTACAAGTGAACACACAGGTCAGTCTATGGAACTGTAATTATCAATTGGACAAGTCATGATATGAAAGAATTATTTCTTTTCTTAAACTTCAACTGCCTTCAATCCTGAGATTTTTCTATCGGCCTAGCATTACTTACGGTCTAAGAAGTTCTCAAAAACATTCTCTCCTCCATGATGAGGTTGTAGCAAAAAGCAAATTGTCCCCCAAAATCCAGGACAACTTTCAGATACTGTGTCCAAATAGTTCTTTAGGACTTAACAAAGAAATGCCCTACATGCCTCCTGCTAGCTGCTTCCGAGTACCACTATCTTCCTGCATTTTTCTTACAAAGACAGAGAGAGATTTTAGAAATGAGGGCCAAGTGATGGATTGTTCTGCACACGCCTCGTGATGGTGTCTGGCAGCAGCAGTGCCTTCTTGGCAGCCTGGCATTTCCAGCTTATTGCGACCTTCGCCCATCCACTTGATAGCTCCCTGCAAGTTAAGAAGCACACTTACGTCTTTCCTGTGTCTGCATCGTATTTTTAAAGTCTTTTTCCTCCTAGCAGCTTGCTTTTAAAGGAACAAAATGAAAAGCATGAAATGTGGTTTCTTCCTTCAAGGAATCTATACTCTAGCAACTACATTCTAGTTAATAAACCAAAACAAACATATAGAAGAAGGAACACATATGTCGTTAAGGACTGAGCTGTGTTGTCCCGTGTAGCTCATTGATATCATGTGCTACACACGCAAAACACTTACACGCATTGGCTCATTTGACATGCACCCACGCGAGAAGATAGAACCAGCACGATTACACTCATTTAGTAGATGGGAAACACCTTAGAGAAGAGAAACGACCTGAGGTCACATAGCCAGTAAGTTTTTAAGAGCTGGGATTAGACACAAGGTTCACTGATTTTTAACTCAGGCTCCTGGTAGCCCAGAACAGGATAACTGTATGCTAGCAATACACTATTAGCTCATATAAAAGAAATCCTCTAGAAAGGCAGTGGGTTTACAGAGAGGAAAGATTTTTATTAAGGCCCAGAGACAAAAAGGATGTAGGTAGAGAGGAAAACAATATGTTGCAATAGTGCATTGTGTTTATTGACCAGGGGGTGGCACAGTGAAAAACAAAGAAGTCCAGCTGGGAAGGCCACTGAACATGCCTGGCTAATCACACACTGGATGTGCTCTGTGGCATCCGGATGCACTTCTGGTTCACTGGGGGTGCTGGACCATGTCTCCACAGACAACGGTGTAAATAGTGCAAGGATGCCCTGGTAAGCCCGAATGAGATGAAGGAGGGCCTTGAAGATCAGACACAGTTGTTCCCTCAAAGATGAGTGACAAAGAACTGTGACTTCAGACTGTATGACTTCAGTCTTTGCAGCTTCTTATTTGCTTTCTATAAAAGGAAAACGTAGACTAATTTAATTTTTTTTTTTTTTCATTTTTAAAGGCATCTGATTTATGTAGTAAGAGAAGGTATGGAAGTTTTGGGAGCATGACTGATATGAAGAAAATGATATTTAATCGATACAGGTATAAAAGATGGATGAGCACGATAAGGGCCTGGGATAGAAAGAGACTATGGCAAGGGTCTTCCAATCACCTAGACTTGGAAACATAACGCTACTAGGATGGCAGGAGGAGGGAGGAAACAGTAAACACACGAGTCATTTGGGAAGGAAAATCCAGCACTGTCTGTTCACTGACTGAGTTCAGAAAAGGCCCAAAACACCAGCCCGGGGTGGCCAGCGGAGCGGCCCAGGGAAATGGGAAAGGGCGGGAAGTGGTAAGGCACCAGGTGTGAGGCAAAAGCGAACTCAGACTTGGGCTTTTGTCTTTGGCTGACAGTGATGCATCAAAGCGGAAAAGTCTCATACTCACTGGCGGAAAAGGAGCGGAGTCATGTGAGATGATAGAACTGAGATGAGAATCATCAGCTCAAGGGAGATAATTACTGTTCCTGAGAAAACAAATACGAAAGCCTTTTTAGTGCATTAGCCTAAGAGTGATTTTTGGTTTCATAGCTAAAGAAGCAAACTCCAAGAGACATGAATAACATGATCTCACCTCTTTTTAAGAAGTGGATGAAATGGAAGCTACTCATACCTCTTAATAGTTAACATTTTAATTTAAAAAAGCTTTATCACTGCAACTGAAGACTGAATTCAGACCCTTAATCTTTTGAAATATATTTTTCAAAAAAAAAAAAAGTAATAAGAATTGTGGGAGTAATAAAACCCAAAATGTGTGTCATTGTACAAAAGAGAGGAAAAGAAAGTGCTCTAAAGGATATAACTGCAAGTATATTTCAGTGTATAAGATAAATAACCATATTACTGAGTTTTGTTGGATCATTGAACAGAACTGTTTGCAATCTCACTGTTTGAATGTCCACTTTATATGCTTTAATTTTGTAACTTGAACAACTGTTTCGAAGATGACAATATGTAATCTATTAACTAATGATTTCCTACTGTTTATTTTTTCTGAAATTCTATATAACTTGTACCCTTTTCCTGCTTTTTTTCTTTTTCTCCTTAAATAAAATTTTTTAAAAATATGTATTTTTCCATATTTGTATCTATTTTGTCTGTGTCCAGAGTTTATCACTGCAGCAGTTTTGTGCTGTGTCACTTTAACCAAGCTGGGACTATGTTTCCCAGAATTCCCTTCTTGCACACTTCTGGGTGAGTGTTGTCAGAAAGAGAAACCTGCACAAGCTGGGAAGTCCTGTGAGACATACCAGTCCTGTGCCCGCTGGTTGCTGGCACCACTGTGGCTTGCACACTATATTGCTGACCCTTGGCTCACCTTGTCAGTAGGGGAAAGAGGGAGCATTAAGTTTAGCCAGAGCTCCTCCTACAACTCTTCCAAGTCCCAGACACACTGTCAGAGTTCCTGAAGGAGGACAGACATTTTCCTGCAGATGGCCTGCATGCATGCCCAGACCTGACACAGCGAGGAACAGATGCAGGCTGCAGTTTCTTCCCATGGACTTCATTTCTCATGGATTTCCCTCTAGTTTTGAATGCAGCTCTTCCTCTATCCTGCAGAGACTCCAGGCCACAATCGGATGCACAATCAACATCTTTCCACTGACATCCTTTGTGGCCCTGATCAGTAGGGTTTTCCTTTACTTTCTAGTCATTTCTTTCTGGACCTTTGCTTCCTCAGATTCTTCCACTGTTGTTTGACATCTGATTTCTATATGAAATTCCTTACCTACATCACCCACAGCGGTTCTGCTGCTGGTGCCATTACTCGCACTGTTACAGATTACCTAGACCTTTAGCTCCCCAGCCTCCTTTGAACTGACTGTACTTTGTGCATTGCACTTATTCTTGAGGGACCACTGGGTGCTGGTAAAGGAGAATAGCATTAAAAATACATCTTAATATTTTAAAATAGTCATCATGATAGATTAGGAACCAGTATTAAAGTCCTGGCCAACATAAAATCTGGGAAAACTACAGGTTTCTGATGCCTAACCCTTGGCACCTCCTTAACACCCAAAACTATCTATCTCTAACATTAAATGAGAGAAAAAGAAACACCTAACTTACTTAAGACATTATCATTTTGGTCCCTGTTACATTAGCTGAGCTTGAATTCTAACCAACTCATGCATTTAACATTTCCTTAATCAAGTTCAGTTAGTCAAGTAAAAGGACATCAGAAACTTATTATTCTCTTTTTTGCTTCTAGAGCTCAGTCTTGTAAAAAGTATGTGCTCATTTATCTAGAGTTTGCAGCATAGAACAGAATGGCCCATTGAAAAGTTCAAAAAGGATGGACAGAAGTTCAAAATATTCAAGAAGCGGACTGAACTAAAACTAATCACTAATTTTTAGATCTGGAATGCCCCCAAGGCTCATATGTTAAAGATGTGGTCCCTAACCTTGACGCTAGTAGAGCCCGGTGGAAGGAAGTTAGCTCATTGGAGACCTGTCCTTTAAAGTGATACTGAAACCTTGGCTTCTTCCTTCCTTTCTCCCTTTGCTTCTCAGCCACCACGAAGTAAAGCAGTTTCCTCTACTACACACTTTCTCTTCACGATGTGCTGCCTCACCATAGGTTCAAAGCCAACAGGGTCAAGAGACTAGAACTGAAACCTTTGAAAACATGAGCCAGAATAAATCTTTTCTCCTTTAAGTTTATTGTCTCAGGTATTTTGTCACAGCAGTGAAAAGCTAATACATTAAGATTTCTGTTAGGACCAAAACAAGGTTGCCTATTCTTGTATTTGACATAATAGCTGCCCATAAACACCAGTTGAATCTAAGCTTAAATTGTATTTTAAAAGAATTAGAAAATAATGTTATTTAAGAAATCATAGAAGGTAAGTAAACAAATAGACTCCAGTAATTATTTCCAAAGTCAAACTGGGTTTTCTGGAAAGGGTAATTCCAATACAATCAGATATTAGTGCTGTATAATATACTTAAGGATTTGCTACATTTTAAAAAAAAATTTAAGAAAAAAGGGTAGCATAAGGATAAAAGTATTCTAACCATAAATATGTTTATTCTGGAAGTTTAGGTAGGTGTGTTTTATGATCTGTGTCCTAACACAAACTTTTTTAACCTGATGGTTCTCTGAATCAAAACCTAGAAGAGCTTCTTTCTGTTAACCTTTTCTTAGGTTTCTTAGAGTCTTAGTAGATTCTTGATATGTCAAAAGATTAGCTAAAGAAAATTGATATACAAAGGTAACTTTTTTAATCATGAATGTAGAGAAGGAAAAGGAATCTCACAAAGGAAATTAAGGGATTGATGACCACACTCATAGTTTATGAAATGAACAGAACCTGCTACACTTATTTCTATACGAAAATTCCACAAACAAGATCAAGATGTTTCAGATAAAACATAGCATCCATACCTTGCCCTTCTGACAGACTATGAAACATTTCTTGAAATACAATGGAAACAAGATGTTTAATCAAATGTCATTGAAACACCAGCATAACCACATAAATATCCATGTACACCCATGTGTACACCCATGATAATTGAAGCCTGATGATGGCAGCAGCTTGTTTTCAGGGCACTGTTCATTAATAACAAATATTATTAAGACTTAACAAGTAGGCTCAAGGTTCAGGGACAAGTCATAACAATCAGAGGCTTATGGAGCCACACTCCTTTTTTTAATGTCGAGATACAGCTACTTGAAGGCCTAGAGGACAGCCAGCTTTTAGTCATCCATGTTTTGGGACGTATGACCCAACTTTGCCACAGATGATTAAGCTTCAGCTGCTATCTCTAACTTACCACAGCAAAGAGCAGAGTCCATCAGGTCTTCTCTCCCCTATGGAACTGAACAATCAATATCTAGAAAGTGATATTTTAAATGTGGGCATGGAAGTTGAACTGTGAGAAGGTAGGGTTGGGAGAGGACAGGCAACATCAACACATGTGAGTCTAGTCACTAATTAATGGAGACTGGGCAACCAACCAATCCTAGCCACTCCTGAGCAGCAAGTTGATGAGGGAGTGTAGCTCATTTATTCCACAATATTCTCCCTAGATATAGGAACAGAGCCTGTCTTGTTCATCACTATTTTCCCAGCACTAGTATGGTTATTGGTTATTTTAAAAAAAAAATGAGCCACTTGATATGTATCTCCTGAATGCACAGTTAATAAGCTAGCACTGATGGCTAGACCAAGCCCTTATATGACCTTCTTTACAGACTCCCTATCCAGTATCTGGTACCAGGTGCCCTCTTCAACACAGCATTTGTTTTCATATTTGTCTAAAACCTCCACTATTTCCTTTTATTTGAGGCAATTTATTTGCCTTCTTGATCCTTGTGGAGAAGTTTCTGAACTAGTTCTCTAATAGCGAGGAGGGACCTGAGCAAGAAGAGGAAAAAGGAGAGAAGAATAAGAAGGAAAAATAGGAACAGGTTAAAATAGGAACAGTGGTGGTACAAAAGGCTGTCACTGATTTTTATGCATATGTTTCCTAGAAAGGTATAGAAAAGACCTTCCTAACCATCTTACAAGGTTTGAACTATGAGTGAGAGGATAAAAGACTACAGAACTTCAATAAACATCCTATTTTGCAGGTCCATCTTTAGGATGTTGCTCAAGAGAAGTATTCAAACTTGGTCAGGGAACTAGAAATAGAGCATTGTGTTTGATGTGACTAGCTAGACCCCAGTTCTCCCATTTAATGCATGAGAGAGACAATTCCTGGGAGGTAAGTAGAGTAACATTTACTCAAAGAAATAATACATCCAACTCATCATTCCTTTCTTCATGATACATATATTATCATCTCTTTAAAAAAGCTAAGCATTTGTGTTTTTTTTTTCTTTAACCTATAAAGAAATTCAGGAATGACATGGAGGAAAATGTAACCCCATAAACTTGGACTCATAAAACAATAAAATGTCCTTGAGCATAAATTTCTTACCAGGTCTGATTCATCTGATTGTATCTTTGAATGACATATAATGGAAAACTTATCCTTCAGTTCAATATCAGTGCTGAGCTTTTCAGAAGCAAGTATAAGTCAAGCATATTTCCACATTAGCAGACCATTAATGACCATCATTATCTTACTTCTACTGCTTACGTGAAACAAGGCCACATAACAATATAATGTTCTAATCAAAGATGGTACAGAAGAATTCATTGGAGAGAGAGGAAAAGAATAAAGACTAACGTACTTACTTGGTCCTAGACCAATTGAAAAAGCAGCAACATAAATAAGCAAGCTGGTTAAAGACAGCCATTTCAAAGAAGCTGGGACTTCCTCAGGGTCTGTGGCTATCTTGTGTTCAGTTTGGTGTAGTCCAGCATTTGGTAAGAACGTGGAGGTCATCTCCCCTTTCTTACCCATGTCATTTCCCATGGGAGTAAGTGAGCCCCTGCTGTGGGAAGTGATTTCTTCAAAGTGCTCTCTGAGAATATTGTTGCCGTCTGATAGGTTTCCTGCTCCATAAAGCCCAGGCTCATCCAAGGAGTGGTTAATAGGACTATGGCTTCTGCAGATATTGGTGAAATTCATGTGGATGTTAAGATTCACAATACCCATAGTCAACAACGAAACTGCCATCACAGATGAACCAATGCAGAGGAAGGTTTTACTGCCAACATGGTCTACAAGAAGGGTGGCTGGGATGGTGCTTACAACCTTGACCACCCCAACTCCAGTGGAAGCCAAGCTAGCTGCCTCATTACTTTCAAAGCCAACTGACTTCAAAACAGTTGATGCATAAAATAATATGTTTGGCTGTCCAGTGACTTGTACAAAAAATACCAGTGTTAGACCTATCATTATTCGAGTCCTCATATTATCCTTGGTCCGAAACAGATCCCAAAAAGTGTACTGATACTCGTCTTTCAAGGAAGATTTTATCACAGTGAGCTCTTCAGTTGTGTCTGAGATTGCTCGTAGTCTTCCAAGAACCTTGCTAGCAGCTTCCTCTTGCCCTTTCATCACCAGAAATCGAGGACTCGGAGGGAGAAAGTACATTCCTATTGCTTGCAAAATTCCTAAGGGAATCACAAGACCGAACATGTACTTCCAGCCATGGGAGACACTGGCAAATGCATAATTTGAAATATAGGCAAAAAGAATGCCAATGACAATCATCAACTCATTCAATGACACAAGAAGGCCTCTTCTGTGTTGTGGAGCAATCTCAGCAATGTAGACACAGGTAGCAATGGAAGAGAGGGAAATGGAGACTCCAATGGCAATGCGGCCCATGATGAGAACTATGTAGGACAACCTGAGGATCAAGACTAAGCTTCCAAATCCGAGGAGACAAGATGACACAATGATTGCAGTCCTTCGTCCATATCTGTCTATCAGAACCCCTCCAGTGAGAGAGGCGAGGAAGGCCCCAATGAGCAGGGAGCTCACAATCATTTCCTGCTCATGGCAGGTCAGGGCCAGCAGGGTTCTGATCTGGAGAAGAGCCCCTGAGATGAGCCCAAGTTCGTAACCTACCAGGAGGCCACTAACAGCCGCGGTGACAGATGTCAGGAAAGTAAACATGCTGCAACCTACGAGCAGAAGGAAAGAAACAGAGAGGTCAGTTCCGAGTTATAATTTAAACATCTTCTATTCGAATAGGGACTTAGACCTCTGTAAGTCTCGTGTAACATGGAATTTAAACACATCTCTAGAAAATAATGCACTAACAAAAACTGATTAGCTATAGATAGAAATACGAGTTTTATTGTGTTAGCAGAGAGATGTGGGGACATTTAGGAAATTCAGTTTTCTTCTTTCTTTGATGTGATGTTTTTAATTAAGAGCAGACAACTATGTGAGATAAAATGACGGATAATAAAGACTGAGCAAACAAGAATGCCATTTAGTATGTGCCTTGGCACCAGAAGGAAAACTCATATACACTGGCTCTTCTAATCCTGCCCAGGCTCCCTGAGAGCAAGCCTCCAATGGCACAGCAGCAAACAAGGACTTCTTGGAGGCCTACTGCTCCCTGTTGAATGACTAGTCATGGCTGAGGTGCAGTTGGCTTTTGCTTATGTATGTCAGGGCTTTGGGGTAGGGGGTAGAGGTGGATGACGTGTGAAGGCCAATGTCAAGGTTGTGTTAGAAAGGGAGATGATGCAGAAGGGGTAACTAACAACAGCCACTGCTCATAGTAAGAAAGAAGAGGAAAGAATGAATGAGAACAAGAGGACTTTATATCTTTCTCTTTTTAAAAAATTAAAATCGGATGGAAGACAGGGAAGTCTCAGTCATGTCTCAGAAACTGTCAAATGGCCCAGCATACAGTGTGTGGGGCTCAAGGGAAGACCAGAGAGGTAGCCGGGAGAGGCCAGAGAGTGAATCTGGATAGGTGTGGAGGGGCCACTTCATACCCGCCTGGTAGGTCACAGTGGTGCCTTGGCATTGTTTTCCAAGAGTGACAATGTTGACACCTGTCAAATGGCTCAGAGGGCACAAACACAATGGGTTTCTTATTTTCCTAGGTGCTGCTGTGTAAACTAGCTCTTTGAGGGGAAAGACTGGTAGCAGAGACATATTTGTTGCCTTGGTTTGACAAGAGGAGGTGATTTGCATATTCAAAGTAGACCTAGAGATAAAGTCAACAAACACAAACATGTCTTGGAGCTCAGAACCATTACACTTGCTCATGAGTTGGAGGTGGAGAGAAAGAAAGTGGGTGGGGCCCCAAAGGTAGCTTTGTGGCTTGAACAATCAGGTGGGTGATTTTATAGTATCATTAAATGAATCCAGGGAACACTAGGGACAGAATTAGTGTGTGATGATAAAAGGAGTATATTTTGAACGTATTTCAATGTTTTATTTGTTTTACTTCTAAGATGTTGGAGTAAAGATGCCAGTGAGGTGCTGGGTCTACAGATTTGAAGTATGCCAAGGCTGGAGGCAGGTATTTGGGCATCAGCAGCATGTATTTGGTATTTAAAGCCATGAAAATGGCCTGGTCATTTAGAAAAACAGGTGAATGTAAAGGAGAAATGAGATGATGACCAAAACCTTAGGAACTCTACCATTTAGTGCAGGAAACATCGGGAAAGCATCACAAAGGGAAATAGAGGAGAAGCAGAAGTGAGATACAAGGGAGATAAGGTAGAAACAAATGCTTGGGCATGTAAGCTCCTAGGCCGAGGCAGAGCCATTAAACGCTGCCTCTGTTGAGGAGAGGGGATATGATTTAGAAATGCCATTTAATTTTTGAGAACCACAAAGAGCAAGCTAAGGTGATCTATAGTTCTTATCATCACAAATATCCAAGGTATTTTTCATCTCCAGAATCCTGATGGGAGGTGGGAGATTAAAAATCATCACCATCATCATCACCACTGAATATTTTAAAAAAGCACATAAGAATGCAATGTTCCCCATTAAATAAAACTGATCTGTGGCAATTAAACTGTCGACCAAATATATTTCTAAATGTTAAAATACGTATGCACGTAGTAAAATAAAACAGATGCGGTCCTTGCCTCCAAAAACCTTAAATATCTGGAAGTGCATACCTAATACTTTGTATGCTCCTTTTTTAACACACAAAATGACTTTGACGTATTCTCTTATGAATTTATCCATCTCCTCAGTTTCCATGCTTTCTTCTCCACATATGACCTTAAAACCTCCACCAACAAACCCTTTAACCCCGAGGATAATTAGGTAGAACTTTCTCATTTGGGTAAAGATACTGCCTTAGTCTTCCCTCTACTTGCTATTGTTCAGCTTATCAATATTTGATGTGTGAGTGTTGGGTAATTTGTAACTAGTCACTGAAATGCTGATTGGAGAAATAAATGATGTAGAGAATGAAATTCTTAGGAGGCCCCAGAAAGAGCATTTGGAGGGGCTGAGGATAGCAGGGGACACTGAGTTAAAGATGTAAGGAAATCATGCCAGAATTGCAGGAAATATCCCCATTACCTTCTCCACCTTCCCTTCCTTGTTTCCCCTTTTATTAGAAGGAAAAGAATTTTTCTTTACCAATACAAAGCCTCCTTGAGACGCAAGGATCTCTTCCTTTGATGCTGTACTGTCCTATCGTCCTATCTTGGTGATGGCTAGAGTCAAGTTGGGAAGGAGGGAACATAAAGCCAGTTTCTTGTAGTCTGGAGACATATTCTTCACTGAAAAGGCATCTGGCTTCTGCTGCTGCTTTCTAGACTTACGGTATTTGAACAGTTCTTTGGTAAGTGTGTGTGCAAAAGGTCAAGGGCCCTTGTAAGACTCAGAATCTAACACTTAGTATAGCTGACACAGAGATGTGAGAACATTTCCTCATACCAATTGTTAAAAACATTTTACTTTAAGTTTTACATATTAGGGGCTGGGGATTTAGGTCAGCGGCGTAAGCGCCTGCCTTGCAAGCGTGCAGTCGTGAGTTTGATCCCTGGTACCGATAAAAAAGAAAAAGACCAAAAAAATAAGTTTTACATATTATAACATTTTCTTGTTATCTATTTTACCCATCTCTGGACAATTTGCTAACCAAAACAAGGCTTTATGATGCAGAATTAAGGTAAGGTATTAGTTGTCTGAGTTTCATTTATCTTCCCATTATATGGTTTAAGAGGGTTTGCCCCTTATTCACCTTTCTATAGGAACTTAGGGCTGCTTAGGGCTCTATGAAGTGTCACCATGGGCCATCCCTCTGAGGTCTGAAATTCTAATTCACTGTGTAAGGGTACCCCTAGGGTACCAAGACTGAAGCCCCAAAATACCGCAAAACATCCACCAGAAGATTGGGTCCTATTGATGCCAGGAAGTAGAGATAATTTGTCCGAGAATTCAAGCAGTGAATGGAAAGAAAGAGTCAGGCTCTGGTCTGAAGCAATGGCAGGAAGGTGGGGTTTGTTTGTCTAAACACTGAGGTGAGAGCTGGGTGGACTTAGGAGAGGGCAAGACAATCATTTGTAATTAGTGTTTTTCAAAATGAACCCGGCACTGAAGCCAGTTAGCTCTTGACATAATGAAGCCGCTTAGCATTGCCAGCCGTTCTGCCAGGGTCCTTCTTTTACATCCCTGTCCTCTCCTACAGAAATGGAAACCTGGGTAAAGAAACAGCACAGGCTGCTGATTCTGCTTGTCTCCTGTGACTTCTGGTCACTTTGCTAGAAGAGGAGCAGCTGTAAAAGGAAGATTTCCAATGTCTCTTTTGATGCGATGATAATTCTTTATTAAGGGTAATGGGAAGATGTGAGCCCAATCAAGAGGCTTTATGCAAATGAATGGTGAGACCCACCGCACCAGGGCGGAGAGGGCAGGCAGGCGGCAGAGCTGGCCATGAGACACAGAGCTGGCTGCCACAACAATAGCTGCATTGTCTCTGCTCACGGTGGGTCAGATGAAGCCACAGTTTTAACTAGCGCTCGATGTGAAATGCTCCATTTTTCACAATATTTGAGCTCCTGCTTCTTTCCTTGCTTTCTTCCTCTTGTGCCTACTAGGGCATATGTACATAATGGCATACAATGAATACCTGCCGCCTAACTAAGCCCCACAGCAGTCTGGGAAGCACGCACACATGGGTTTCTCTGGCAGGCAGCCAGGTAATCATACAGCTTGACCAACTGTGAATGCTTTGCAAATTAAAAAGACCCCTCCTTCATGTTTTGTTCAAGAAAAGCTTGCAGTGGCCCCCAGATGTCCTTGCCGTTGTGGTCTCCCCTTTCTTGCTCCCCTGCCATGAATGCCTGTCATTCCAACTCAGCCATCTCAAGTGCCACCTCCCCTAGGAAACCCCTTTGAGTGCTCTCGTTCCCCTGCCCTGCTGTATCCTGTCCAGCTCCCAGCCCATTGTGTACAGACTGTTTCGGGGCACCCATCCCATTGTAAGGCACATGCTTATTGATCTGTTTGTGTTCACTATTAGACTGAAAGTTCCTTGAAAGCAAACATCTGCTTTACTCATATCTGCATTCTCACCTCTAATCTTTTGTCACCAGGAAAAGACTCAGTCGATGTTGGAGTGGAATGAATAGAGGCAGCACTCCAGAATCGCAATCCTCGGCCCTCCCCTCCCCACTGTTACACCATCAGACTAAGCTCAATACATGAGATTATGTAACGGTTAGCAGGTAGAACTTCATGCTTCCATAAACGCTTCCCATCTGAATAGCTTGCTTGCAGCATTTCTATAAAGCGTTTGGTGCTATTGTCAGCTAGTTAATGGAGCACTGTTGCAAAGAATGTAAAGTGTTTCAGTGTCGTTTGCATAATACTTAGTTAAATATAGTCTGGCGCATGGGATTGTTTTCTGCTTGTTCACATTCAGCATTTAGATGCCCGCCTTTCAGGTGGGGTTTTCAAGTTCTACATCAGTGACTAGTCTCAGTCACTAGTTCTCCGGCCCATCTGCACCATTTCCTGTTTTCAGAAACCTATATTTTTCCCTGACTCATTCTTCTCTTGTGCTCCTACACACACACACACACACACACACACACACACACACACACACACACACGTGACCACCTCCTTCACAGCATCCTGCATCTCCCTTCACAGTCTAGGGAAACTCGATTTATCTTTAAAGCTCCAG